GAAGTCCCCAGGCCCCGGCGTGGACCTATAAAATGACAGGCTTTGAGTAGCGTGGATGTTTTTTTGCTGTCAGAAATTTCTTTTGAAACCCACCACCTCAAGGAGCTGAAGGGAGATAAAAAGCAAGGCAGGTTCTGCACTTTAGAAGCTTCAGGCCAGGCACAGGGCTCACGCCTGCAATCCCAGCACTTGGTCGGCTGAGGCGGGAGGATCACTTGAGCCCAGGAGTTTGAGACCAGGCTGGGCAACATGGTGAAACCCCGTCTCTGCAAAAAAATAAAAACAAATAAGAGAAGCTTCAGTTCTGCCTCGGACGGCCAGTCATGTATACACAGACAACAGTATGGAACAGTGTGGTACTGGGTTTTGCCCCCGTTTTCTGGATGTTCACCTGATGGAGTGAAACCAGTCTTGGGCTGAGAGCGGCACCTGCCCAGGGAGCACTGTCAATAGGGGTGGGTCAGCTCTCGGTGGCTTGTACCTGGAGCCTCCTGCCAGCAACTCGTACCCCTCCCGGTGCGTCCAGCGCACCAGGTGCCATTACCCCATGATACGATGGCGAGCTTAGCCACTTCCTGCTAGGGAGCAACAGCTGGAACCTGCAGCCCAGTCTGGTAGTCCCAAGCTGATTTTCTGCCTGCTGTACTGTACAGTGCTGTACTGATGGGCTGCACATATTTGCCTACGCCTCCAAGAGCCTGAAATGGTTGTTACAATGCCCTTTTCAAGTGTGTTATTGAAGAATGAGTTTCTAATCATAATACCTGTAAGCTGGTTGTGGGGATGGTAGCGTATCAGGTGGCAGCTTGGAAGCTGGTACCTGGAGACAGCTGGGAGGTGTCTCATGCACCCCTCCTCTTCTGCAGGCTTGGAATAAATAAGTTTGCCCTGTGAGAGCCAGTGAGGGTGGCCAAGGTGCAAGAAGAGCAGGCAGCTGACCTTGACTAAGAGCAGAGAATTGGCTCACGTTCTCAGGTGTGCTCCCTAGGGCACTGCCCTGGAAATGTTCCCACACTAAAGGCCACTGTGGTCACTCAACTCCATGGCCCGTTTGAAGACTCATAATGACAATTAGCGGAGTACACCTTCTTACCTGCCTCGCAGGGGTGGGGGTGTCTGTTTCAGACAGCTGAGAAATCATGCTTGTGCCATCTGCAAATGCTAATGACACACTTGGAAAAGGGCATTGTAACAACCATTTCAAGCTCTTGGAGGTGTAGGCAAATATCTGCAGCCCATCAGTACAGCACTGTACAGTACAGCAGGAAGAAAATCAGCTTGGGACCACCAGACTGGGCTGCAGGTTCCAGCTGTTGCCCCTGGCAGGAAGTGGCTAAGCTCGCCATCGTATCATGGGGTAATGGCACCTGGTGCGCTGGACGCACCGGGAGGGGTACGAGTTGCTGGCAGGAAACTCTTCTCTTGCCCTTCGTCCTGCTGGCAGTGCCTGCAGAGCTTTAATGTGTTCTTGCTAACTTATTATGAAGTACTAAGCTTAACCTTTGATTTCTAAAATTAATGTTTTCAGCATCCAGGCAGAGGGATTGATGTCCGGAGAAGGAAAATCTGGGACATGTATGGACCACAGACTCAGTTAGAGGTACCATCTTTGTTATGCATGCCCTTGAGCTCAGCATGGCTTAGCCCCCAGTGGGAACTGCTGGAATGAATGTGTCTCTTTGTGTAGGTCAAGCAGACATGCTGATAGCAAACCTTCACATCCATCTAAGTGCTCTGAAATTAGAGAAGAGAGAAAGACAGACGCAACTAGACCTTGCAGAGCTTTCTGGTTAAACTGACTGAAGGGCGCTGACCTCCAGGCGAAAGTGCTGTCTCTCCCTGAGTCTGTCGGTGCCATTTGTATCCTGTGTGGGGTGCTCCCGTGCCGCCTTGAGGTGGGGGCCGTGCCCCGTGCCCTTTGTGAAGTCTTCTCCAAGGCCTCCCAAAGGCTGCTCTTTGCAGTCAGCAAGCAGTGACTACCATGCCTGCCAGGACTCCACCAGGATGGGGACACCTGCAGCTGAGCCACCTAGGGTGGTGGCTGCGCCAGGGCTGGATCGGTTTACAGGGCTGTGGGGACTCAGAGCCCTCTAACCCTTGACCCCACTCCGGGCCTCTGAGAAGGCTTCTTGGAGCACCCCCATGAGCAAATGGAGGCAGCCAGGTGCCCAGCATGGGAGTGAGATGCCCCGGTGGGACCACCTCCGGGCACACGGATGATGTGCAGGGCAGACTGGGCGGCCCCACGTAAGTTCTCTCATATCTTTGGGCCAGTCCTCTATACCCTTCACATTTCCCTTTTTTAGGACTTGAAAGGGACAATCTTACTTTTCTTAATGCCCCTACCCAGAGATAATCACTCTCTTTTATTTAGGGAAATCAATATGTACACATTTAGAGTTTTAAAAAATAACAGAACTTTGACCCTGGCTGCTTCTGTTCGTTTAACATCCCATCCTAGGCATTTTCTGAAGTCTTTGACAATTATTTGCAAGCACGTTGTTAATGGTTGAATAATGTTCCATGGAATTGAAGGTAACAGCAGCACAAACAAGTACAGCTGACCCTTGAACAACACGGGATTGAACTTTGTGGGCCCACTTGTATGCAAAGTTTTTTCAATAAATACATTGGAAAATTTTTTTGGAAATTTGCAACAATTTGAAAAAACTTACAAATGAAATGCATAACCTAGAAATATTGAAAAAAATTCAGAAAAAGTTAGATATGTCCTGAATGCATTAAACACACCTACATACTAGTCTGTTTTACCATTTATTGAAATATATACAAATCTATACCATTACATATATATACAAATATATACCATTTACTACCATGAAATACATACAAAGTTAAAATCGACCAAAACTTACACAAACCCAGACTGTATGTGGTGTCATTCTCTGTCAAGAGAAATGTGAACGTAAAGATGCAATATTAAATCCTAATTGCATGAAATTAACTGTAGTCCATACTACGCTACTGTAAAATGTCCTGGTCACCGCTCGTTGCTACTGCAGTGAGCCCAAGTGTTGTCAGTGCCCATTTAAAATGCTGAGTGACACCGATCACCTCCGTGGCACCCGCTCATTCCTCCAGTCAGGTGCATAGCCCAGTGAAACGTGCTCTCCGGTATTTTGCAGC